TCTTTAACATGTAGTGCCAATACAAGTACCTAGTTATTATTCAACAGAAGCTGCATTGTCTGAAGAGCCATATTTCTCTACATAAACAATTATAAATATTCCTGCCAGAACCTTGCTTTATCGGAAATTATATAAATAGACTCTAATGATCAGATATTTTAAATGCTAATACAATGAAATTCCTATAAAAAAGCTCATCTAAGCCCGTATAAATGACTAGCTTTTTAAATATTAAACTCAAGAACAAGATATACAAATATATTATTTTTAGTAAATATCTTTAGGAAAAAAATCATTTTTACAACTATAGTGGATTGAATTATGTACCCCCAAATCTCCCTGAAGCTTGAATTGTGTCCCCAAGTTTTCTGTGACTGTTAAGAGGGTGGGAAACTCTATTATGGTAATTGAATGGTGGAGCCTTGAAGAGGTAATTGGATTGGAGGACCATGCAGTAGTGAAAGAATTAAAAATGGTGGTCAGGGGCATGGTTCTGAGGGCTTTAAAAGGAGAGTCTGTCTCTTTTTCTCTCTGCTTCACCATCTTGCGATGTGAGACCCCTGGGTCACTGTTGCCACCACCAGGTGGACTTTGGACCTCCCAGCCTCAGAAACTGTAAGCAATAAATTTCATTTTCTTTATAATTACCCAGTTCCGTGTATTTTGTTATAAGCAACAAAAATGGACTAATCCACATAGTATGCTTTTCTAAAAACTAGTCAAAAGTTCATATCCAAATTTGCTTTCCTGACTATAATACTAAATACATATTTAAAAAAATTCTACATATGTATTCAGTATAGGACCACAGAAAAGTAAATTTAGTTAACAAAATGGCTTATAGGTACTTTATTTAATAAAATTATTATATTTTGGGCCGGCCCAGTGGCGCACTGGGTAGAGTGCGGCGCTTGGGAGTGCGGCGGCGCTCCCGCCGAGGGTTCGGATCCCATATAGAGACCGGTCTGCTCACTGGTTGAGCGCAGTGCGGGCGCGACACCGAGGGTTGCGATCCCGTTACCGGTCATGAAAAAAGACAAAAAGGAAAAAAAAATTATTATATGTGAATTACTAACATTCTGACTTTCAAACTTAGGAATTGTTTTTCATGCTGTATTTACTTAATCCCCCAAGGTAATAATTCACCTTTATGTTTTGTAATTATAAGATGGTATATGTTCATTGTAATATTTCAAACACTATAGGAATATTTAAGGTAGAAAATATAATTCTTCTAATCCTACCTGCTCCCATCTCCTGGTACAACCAATAATAATTTGACATATATTACTATAGATTTTATTTTCTAGGCATAATTTAGACAAGTTTTCACAAGAACTATGGCTTGGGGAGGAATGGAGAGGGCAGCAGAAATGCAGGAAATTCTTCTGTAACACAAGGCTTGCTAATGCTAAAAATATGCATAAATGCAAAAGCAGACTACAAAACTGTATATATTGTATAATCCATATTTTATTAAACACAGTCTAAAAACAAATACCAAAAAAGATAACATTAGCCATCAGAGAATTGTAATGCAAAACCATAATGAGCTATCACTTTGTATCTACTAGGACAGTTATGATCAAAAAGACAATACCAAGTGTTGGTGAGGATGTGGGGAAATCAGAACCCTCATACACTGCTGGTGGGAATGTAAAATGACACAGCCCTTCAAAAAACAGTTTGCCAATTCCTCAAAATGTTAAACAGAGTTACTACATGACCTAGCAATTCTACTCCTAGGTACTTATCCAAGAGAAAGAAAGACACACACCCAAACAAAAACTTGCACATAAATGGTCATAGCAACACTATCATAATAGCCCAAAAGTAGAAACAACCCAAATACAAGGGGTCATCAAAAAGTTCATGGAAAGATTCGCATTATCTTTTAATTCCATTTTCCCACAAACTTTCTGAAGTACCCTCATAAACCTCAACTGATGAATGGATAAATAAAATGCGGTATATCCATACAATGGGATAACAGTAGGCAATAAAAAGAAATGTACTGAATACATGCTACAACAAGGATGAATCTTGAAAACATGCTAAGTGAAAGAAGCCAGTCTCAGAAGACCACATATATTTCTATTTATAAAAATGCCCAGAATAGTAGGGATGAGAGGGATATGCTCAATCCATGCGTTATTTCAATGACATTTAGAATAGGCAAATCCCTAGAGAAAGAAAGTGGATTAATAGAGGCTTAGGGCTCAGGAGCTGGAGTAAAATGGGGAGTGACTGCTAACAGGTATGGGGTTTCTTCATGAGGTGATGAAAATGTTCTACAATTGATTATGGTGATGGTTGCACAACTCTGGAAATACACCAAAACCTTTTACGATATACATTTTAGGCAAATTCTATGGCATAAGAATATTTTAATAAAACTGTTAGAAAATAATGACAGTTGTCATCTCTGGATGGTGAATAACTAGTAATTTTTTTTTATTTATACCTTTTTGTAATTTCCAAATTTCCAGTAATGACTAAGAGTTTTTTTATTTTATCTATTTATTTTTTGGTGGCTGGCTGATGTGGGGATCCAAACCATTGTCCGTGGTGTTATAACACTGTGTGCTCTAACCAACTGAGCTAACTGGCCAACCCTAGACTATTATTTTTTAATCAAGGGGAAAATTATTTTCCAAAGTGCTCCTTGTGAAAATTAGAATGCTATTAATCAATAAGACTAAAGGTTGAGATGGAGTTGCCACCTGTATTCATTTATTCATTCATTAAACACCTACTATGTGCTCCAGGAATTGTCCCAGCATGAGAAAAGTCCTAACTCAAAATCAGTAAGTTACATCAGTTTAACAAGACTCTCTTGTTAACTTCAGAAGATAAATTATGCATCATACCACCACTGACTCCTCTACCTTAATTTTGCACCAAACGTTATATTCAATTATGTTAAGAAGTAATTCTCTCTTAATTAAAATAATTGTTTTTTAAAGTTTAAAACTCATTTTAATATTAAAAATAACACTTCATAGTTTAGAAGTAGGAAAGGTATACCAAAAATTCAATCAGCAACAAGGAGTATTAACTCAAAAAACGCTGGGAATCATCTCTTTAAGACACTTTTTGACTGCCAGGTCAATCATAAAAAAGATACGTAAAATGTTGGTTTTGTTTTTTGGGGTTTTTTTTGGCGGCTTCCAGTACAGGGATCAATCTCTGGACCTTGGTGCTATTAGCACCACTCTAACCAACTGAGCTAACTGGCCAGCCTACATAAAATGTTACCAAAAGGAAATTTAAAACAAAAATCTAAAGAATTCCTTGGAAATAGCTCTAACGTTGAAAACAGCATGGACTGAAAAAATGGAAGAGGAGCGATGAGAGGGATATGCTCAATTGATGGGTTACTTCAATGACATTTAGATAATTCCTATCAGCTAAAAATAAAATGCTCAATCAGAATCTCCTGGTAATGTACTAAAGGTTTTTGGGGAAGCAGCGTCATCTAAATTCTTAATGAGGACAGGAAAGCAAGGAATTTACATTTTGAAAAACTTCACTGGCTATACTGATGTGCAGCCAAGGTTAATAATTACTGCATTAAGCAGTACTTCCCAAAAGAAACAAGGGAATGAAAAATCTGTTCTATACTTTAAAAATATCCTTAGAGACAATGTAGCAAATACATCAGAGATAGAAAAACTCAAGGGCCAGGAGACTACACACACCAGCCATACTCCAAAAATCTAGTTGAGAGAAGATGGAGACAGCGCATTTGGTTTGGACCCACTGAGTTTGCAGCAAATATGGAACTATCACTCATAAGATCGAAGCTAAAGGAAAACGTTTGGAAATGGCTGGGATATAAGGATGATGCTATGGAAGCCATAGATGTAGATGAGAGCTCTCAAGGAGAGCCTATGGAAGAAAGACCGTTTGGGTTATAGCAATGACCATGGGCCAACTAAAAGGAGAGAGTTAACTTAGAAAATAAAATAAAAAAAATTTTTAAAGCATTTTCAGATAGATGGAGTTAGAGGAGCAATCTGTGTGAAGAGAAGGTTTGCATCGTACTCTATATTAAGTTAAAAATACTAATTGACTCTATCAACAAATTGAGGAAAAGGAGCTTGAGAGAAATATTTCCCTCCCCTTTGGCACCACCATTGCTATGTTCTGGCACTGTAACAAACATGCTACCTAATCTCCTTCATCCTCGTAATACACCTATTAGGTAGATGAGGAAACCGAGGCTAGACTGGAATAGCAACTTGCTCAGGGTCACACATCTCCTAAGGAGCACATTAATTCTCATCTGTGTCCCCATAGCTCTCTACAGCTCTTTTTACCTAACTAGTGTTTTTCATTACTCATCTTCATATAATGTGTACTTATGTGCCTTTCTTTCGCTGTACTGTTAGCTTCTCAATGCAGGGTTTGTGTCATTCGTTTCCACATCCCTATAGCTGAAAACGTGTAAATATTTCGTTCAATTAAGCATATGAAAGAACCAGGTGAGGATAGCATCAAGAAAGCCAATAGGGAAAGAGTTTCAAGAAATGAATGGTCAATAGTATCAAATGGTATGAGGAAAGCCATCAGTATAATTTAAGCCACTGGCATTCCTCATTCATTTAATGACTGTCTGCTACATGCAGGACAGTGTATTAAGCAAGCACTACAAACACACAGGAAAATAAAATCAAGTACACGTCAAAAGGTTTTCGGGGAAATACCCTTATCTAAATTCTTGCCCAGAAAAGCAGAACAAAGAGTCAGGCCAGCAACTGCCCACATCTTATTTGGCTCGGGTAAATCTGAAGACAACTTAAAAGGGTCACAGCGCATCTTTTAATAAAACTTCTGACGGAGAACACAAAATAAAGAAGGGCCAGAACATCTCAGTCACGGTGACGACAGCCGGTGACCAGGACAGCAGACTCTCCAGAGTCTGTCATCCCCAAGTAGAGTTGGGCTGCCCGTAGCTGCCCCTCCGTAGCCTGGAGCGGGAAAAAGCAGACACTTACCGCAAAAGGCACCGCTACCGCTGTGGCCCTAAGGGGCCGGGGATTCCTTCTCGAGGCCCCACGCCGTAGGAAGAAATCCAGGGAAGCTGGAAAGCAGACAGGTACGACCCCCCAGTCCCGACTTCCCGAACTGTATGAACTGGGGTCCCAGCGCCCAGCACCGCGACGCCAACTCCCACCAGCTGGAACACCGACGACTGCCACCGAACCTTCCGCCCAATGAAGAAACGTCACCACTCGGCGTGGTCCAGCCTTTCATGAAGAGGATGCACTTCCGCTTCCGGGGCACGCATCGCGTTCCTTTTAGCTCGTCTCCCGCGATGGTGTGGGTAGGCGATTCTTTGCTTCCAGTAGCTTTTGGCTTTTGGTTTTTGCCGCTGAATATCTGCGGTAGCAAAGCTAATGGTTCTAAAACAGGTGATCCTCTAGGACCTAGAGGATGTGTCTGAGCAGTGCCAGCTAAGAGTGGAACGAACATTGAGAGATGGGGGTGGGATTGAGGGTAGGGACTCCCGGGAGCACGAGAGAACTCTATAAGGGGGCGCGGCTTAGGGCTTTCGCAGCCGTGGGAGGCGGGTTCTGCAGAGGGTGTGGCTAGGTGTAGGGGCGCGGCTCTGCTTGCGCGTGCTCGGTGCGAACCAGCTCATGTGTGCTTGCTGTGGCGACATGGAGTTTTGCTCTGCGCGGCAAGCAATACTGCAGCTGTTCCGTACGGTGGCTCCGGCAGACCGCCCAGCACTGCTCCAGTGGATGCAAACTACCCGTAAGCGGCCAGAGGAGGCGGTTGGGGCAAGGATATGCTTTGGACGCTGACTTTGGGGACTTAGGCAGGGTAAGGGCAAAAGCCTTCCACAAGGTTGCTGTACTGGTCTCTGCTCTCGTACGGGGTAGGCTGACCTGGGCACACCTCAGACCCTGGGCCGCTCAGCGTGCCACTTGGATTATGTACAGTAAGACCTGGCTCTGGGTGGTTTGTGATTCGCTGCAGGCTTTGGACAAGCCACTCGAGCCTCCTTTTCTGAAAGAAAAAAGGGGGTGGTCCTAACCCTCTTCCCAGTTACTCCCACAAACTTGTGAGGACCGGTAGGATACTATCTGAGAAAGCTCTTGGGAAGAGAGGTTTTCTGCAATAGAGCTGGAAGCTTTTACCATGTGGGTAAAATCACCAGTCGCTAGTGCATTTATTTCTCGATTGTAAAATGGACAATTTAATAGCAAGGGTTTTTGGGGGGTTGAGGGGTGCAAAAAAAGGGAAAAAAATTGGTTTTAAGCTGTTACCGTAATTAATAATAGTAATAAAACACAAATTATAATTGAAGTATGGTAATTAGATCTAGTTATTGAAGAACGAGATAGATCTATTTTGGCAAGGCGAAGCCTGGTGAAAGCACAAGAATATAAAATATTGCTTGCTTAATAACTGTACCAAACTATTACTCTATACCGCGAAACGTGGATTCCCATGGTTTTTTTCATCCAGATTTATGACTTGAAATATACTTATTTGCTAATAAGTCCCAATTTTAGATTGCTCTTTCTAAAACTCTCTTCTTGGTGTTATAGTCAATCAGTAGGTTTAGGTAATATAATTATTACAACACATTTTTGGAGTCTTTTTAGATAAGATGCCAAACTAAAATTAACTTGAACATCTGATAGTGAGGTGTATCCTCAAAGTACAGAAAACCAGAGATAGAGCTTCATATTTATACACACATACAAGATTATTTCATGATAGGAATTTCCAAAATATGCTGTCTCATCACTACATTTAAGTCTTACACTGCCTATTTTATTTATCATTTCCCAGTTTTTTTGTTTGTTTGTTTGTTTGTTTTAATTTTTTTTCCAACCGGAAAGGGGATCGCAACCCTCGGCTTGGTGTTGTCCGCACCACGCTCAGCCAGTGAGCGCACCGGCCATCCCTATATAGGATCTGAACCCGCTGCCTCGGCACAAACAGCACCACACTGACCCGAATGAGCCACTGGGCTGGCCCTTCTCAGTTGTTTTTAAAACAGCACCAATTTCCACTTGTTTTTTCTACATTCCTCAGTAAAAGTTCATTTATTTTAAAAGCATTTAGTGCCTACAAAAACGCCACTCGTTGCCTGGCTCTGGCAGTTGCACAATTACTACAACATCCTTGCCCTTAAGATTTCATTCTTGTGGAGTTTTTGTAACCTAAATTTCAAATTTTAGAGGTATCAATTGAGACTCCATTTTTCAAAATCAGTAAGACTTGAAAGCATGTTTTGGATGATAAGTTTGTAAACAAGAAGACTCAAGGCTAAAGAATGTATTTTTACTTTTTTTAAGGGCATTTTCTGTGCCTCTCTCTAGCAGACCCTGTAGTCCGGAAGCTCAAGCAATTTGTTAAACAATTTAGAAAACAACTTGAGTTTCTGAAAAATGTTTATTAACATGAAAATTTTAAGAAATGAAAGTATCACTTAGCTTAAAATGAAGGAGTGTACTTTTTAAATAAACCTTAAAAAGTGTATTTATACCTTTTTTATTGTTTAAAATATGCATAACATAAAATTTACCATTTTAACCATTTTTTAGTGTACATTTTAGTGGCAGTGAGTACTTTCACATTGTTGTGTAAATGTCACTACCATCCATCTCCAGAGCTTTTTTATCTTCTCAAATTGAAACTCTTAGTGTGCTCTTTTATGAAGTGGTCTAAATACAGCACAAACAGTTCTGGCTTTTTGTGTAGATCAGTGGTAGAGCAAATGCTTAGCATGCATGAGGCCCTGGGTTCAGCCCCTACAACAACAAAAAAAGTTCTTCCAAACAACCATTTTTCATTTTCCTAGATTTCCTTTTTTGAGGAAAAAAATTCTTTTTTTTTCTCTCTAGCATTAAGTCACTGGTGTAATATCTTACTTGTATGACATTTGCTTAGACCTTTAATAATCACTCTCCTTGAATTTTTATGCCACTTAATGGAATAGCAAGAGACAATAATAGATGTACGGTATGACTTTGGTTTTGAGTTTCGTAGAGTTTATTTCAACTAGAAAACATCTAAATGTTGCTAATAGGTAAAAAATCACAGTAAATACACAAAAGGAAGAGTAAAATTCTTGACCATTGAGTGGATAGTGGGATTATCACACCAAGACTTAAGGTCATTTAGGATGATGCTAGTGGAACCAGAAGCTTGGACCAGGGCAGAGCCAAGCACATGTCAATATCTGGTATAAACTGAAGACATAGGTCAAATAAGATAGGGGCTTACATTTTATCTTGGTACAGCTTAGGCCCAAAGTCTAGGAAACAATGAGCACTCATGTAGGAAGGATGAACCAAGTCTGAGAGGCAAAGCAGGCAGAGATAAGCTCTCCCTGCAAGATAAATTAAAAGCAGTTAAAAATATAGCAGTACCTCAGCTTATTGATTCTGATCCTGTGACAGAGCATCTGTTCCCTTCTATTTCCTGATGTGTATGAAGTGGGATCTTGATCTAGATGTCAAAGTGTGGGAAAGTGACTGCAGTCCATTAAGTGAAGGGAGCTGAGAGCCAGAACTGTAAGTGGGGTTCCCAATAGGCATATAAAAAAATACATTGGAACAGCAATCTATTAATAAATGCTATTCTGAAGCCTCTCAAATTTTTCCAGGATGTGTAAATATAAACGAGGAAGTCAAACCTAAGAGTCAAGTTATAAAGGACAGAAAATTAGGGTTTGCTATAAGGAAATTAACAAAATCATCAAGAAAATATTTAAATGCTTCAAGAAAATAATGGTAGGTGACTAGAAGCTTCTTTGAACCCTTTATTTTACATCTTCACTGAGCAGAATTGGACATGCTGAGCAGCAGCTACAGAGCTGTTAGAGGTTCTTTGAAATTCTCACAAATCTAAAAAGGAATCTAAGATGTAGTTTGTCAAACAGCATACTGCTCCAATACTATGTTGAATTAGTATTGAGGAAGTATCCATATAACTTAAAGATTTCTGATCTTTATTGAAACCATGCAAATTTGTGAAAGTTATCAAATATATGAGGTAATATTAAACAGATTATTTTTAAATTTTCTTATTTATTATTAGCATGTTCATTCTTACAAATCGTGATTTTTTTTTATGCCCTTTGCCTGACCTATCACTTCCCAAACACCCTCCCTCCCCACCCCCCCATCTCTAGTATTCTTAGGTTTGTTCTCTCCTGAAAGTTCAACGTATCGTTGTAGTCTTTCTTTCTTTCCTTCATTCATTCTTTTCTCCTACCTTTCATCCTTCCATCCTTCCTTCTGAGCAGCCAGTTATGAGTGAGAACTATTTTTTTTCCAAAAACTAAAAAGGTTACTAAGCAAATAGGTACCTCTTAAACAAAATTTTTCTGTCAAATGAATAAAAATAACTACTTTTCTCTCAAGCATATTTGTTGTATATTAGGAATAGCCATGATATATAAAAAGAATAATACACCATGAACAAGTGGGTTTATTACAGGAATGCACTGTTGGTTTAACATTAGAAAATCAATCAATGTAATTCACCATATTAACTGAAAATATTTATGTGGATACTTCAAAAAGTTCATGGAAAAATAAAATTAAAAGATAATAATGTGAATCTTTCCATGAACTTTTTATTTTTTTTTTATTTATTTATTTTTTTGTCTTTTTCCGTGTCCGGCAACGGTTTGCAACCCTCAGTGTTGCCCCCGCACCGGACCGGGACCGGCAACGGGATCGCAACCCTCGGTGTTGCCCCCGCGCCTCGCTCAGCCAGTGAGCGGGAACCGGTCTGTATGTGGGATCCGAACCCTCGACGGGAGCGCCGCCGTGCTTCCCAAGCGGCGCACAAGCGCAGTGCGCCACCGGGCCGGCCCTCCATGAACTTTTTAAAGTACTCCTCATATATGTATGAATATGTGTGTGTGTATATATATATGTATGTACACACACACACACACACACACACAGAGGCTGAGTATCCCTTATTCAGAATGCTTAAACCAGAAGTGCTTTGGATTTTTTCAGATTTTATAATATTTGCAGATATTTTCCCAATTGAGCTTCCCTAATCCAAAATTCAAAATGCTCCAGTGAGCATTTCCTTTGAGCATCATGTTCATGCTTAGCAAGTTTTGGATATTAGAGCATTTCAGGTTTTGGATTTTCATATTAGGAATGCTCAACCTGTATATATAATTATCTGAAGAGGCACAGAAAAAGCATTTGACAAATCCAGCATCTCTTCCTGAGAAAAACTCATCAGACTAAGAATAAAAGGGGACATTCTGAACCTGATAAAGGGCATCTATGAAAAACGTTTAGGTAACATCATATTTAATAGTGAAAAGACTCGGGGCTGGCCCGGTGGCGCACTGCTACAGTGCGCCGCTTGGGAGTGCTGTGGCGCTCCCGCCGAGGGTTCGGATCCCACATACAGACCGGTTCCCACTCACTGGCTGAGCGAGGTGCAGGCGCAACACCGAGGGTTGCGATCCCGTTGCCGGTCCCGGTCTGGTACAGGCGTGACACTGAGGGTTGCGATCCGTTGCCGGACATGAAAAAAGACAAAAAAGGAAAAAAAAAAATAGTGAAAAGACTGAATGCTTTCAAGTAAGATAAAGATGTCTACTGTTCCCACTTCTATCTAGCATCTTAATAGAGCTCCTAGCCAGTACAGTATGGCAATAAAACAGTGGGGAGAAGCATCCCAATTGGAAAGGAGAAGTAAAACTGTCTATTCATAGACACCATGATTGTCTATGTAGAAAATCCTACAGAATATACAAA